AATTATTGTTTTAATATTTTGAGCTATGTAAGGTTTACAGGCAACTGTAAAATTAAGAATATTTCTTGGTCATATCACTCCCCTAATCCCCGATCTGTCTGTCGCTAACAATACTTGGCTTTTTAGATGCTGGCTGTGTAACAATGATTGTTTTTTGAGTGATGTGGATATTTCTGGTGATTGAGCTATTTTATATTAGTAAAACAATAGAGACCCCCTCATCTTTGAACATTGTCTGGGGTGGCATTCAAGGCCTTCATAAGAGGTGTCATGAGAAATATTTTTGTGGAAAGGAGATTTCGAGAACCAAAAAAAAGAGTTGGCAACAGTACACCAAGGAGTTCTCTACCACGTTTTACTGTACTATAGAGGTTTTTTTCTAGGACCTCAATTTAAAAATGAAATGAAAATATGAAGGTTAGAATGTTCCTCTGAATGAGTCAGAATTTTCAGATTTAGCGGTCTTGTTCTCTTTCATAGCAAATTTTGGCACCTTAGGAGTGAAACTCATCACAAAACATGAAGATCCGTATGATCACAATTATAGTCCATTGTATAGTATACTCCAGGCTCTTTCTGTTATCATTCTTTTGTTGCTGTAGTGGTTATGGTGACAGAAGTGACCTGGCACCTATCTAAAGTAAGTAGTCAATCCTTTTGAGAATGCTTTCACAACATACATGGGTCCTGCCTTTTGCTTGGAGCTTCCAGTTTGCCCTGCAACAGTATGCTAGCCATATGGTAACAATCCAAGATACAGTCTACCAAAACATGGATTTGTAGTGGGCTCTTGTCAGATGCAGTTTGCAAATGCCCCTACAGTAGAAAATACCTAGTTGTTTATGCAGGCACTTGCATTAAATTTAATGCAGTAGCCTGTGTTTAAAGGATCACTATAGTGTCAGGAAAACAAAGCGGGTTTCCTGACAGTATGGTCCACTAGGGTACCCCACCCCTCTGGGTCCCCCTCCCGTGGCGGTGAAGGGGTTAAAAACCCTTCAGCAGATTACTTTATTCCAGCGCCGGGCTCCCTCGGCGCTGGTGACCTCTCCTCCCCTGCTGACGTCAGCTGCCCCGTCCGATGTCAGCGGAGCCGAATGCGCATGCGCGGCAAGTGCTGCGCGCATTCAAAGTGTCTATAGGAAAGCATTTTTCAATGCTTTCCTATAGACGTATAGGAAAGCATTTTTCAATGCTTTCCTATAGACGCTCTGCGCGATGGAGCCATAATATGCCACCAGCGTCGCAGATGCGCCTCTAGTGGCTGTCCGGAAGACAGCCACTAGAGGCTGGCTTAACCCTGAATGTAAACATAGCAGTTTCAGAGGGGTTAAAACCTGAGGGACCTGGCACCCAGACCACTTCATTGAGCTGAAGTGGTCTGGGTGACTATAGTGTCCCTCTGAGTTTAAAAAGGCGCCGGTATTGATGTCAAGACAGTAAAGCCCAAACCAGAATGCTTTCCAATGGAAAGCTTTGCATTGTAGTGGGCATGTGTCTCACAGGCACGTGCGCTCACAAACACCCACATGAAGTGGTCTGGAGGCTTATAATGTTCCTTTAATAAATAATCCCGACCAGTTCAAATCTTGGATACAAATAATGATAAACCTCCCACTGACAGCAGCAGAGAGGTTAAACTCTGTGCATTCAAAGCACAACGTGCATACTGTGACCACTTCAAATTACTAAAGTGGTCATGGTGTTTGGAATAACCCTTTGGCCATGAGAATTCCATGGATGGATTTGCAAGTGTATACTTTTTGATCACTTCTGTCATTTAGACAAAATGCCAATGCCTTTACTATGAGAAATGCATCATTTTTTCTGGCCTCAGAAATGTAACAAAAATAAAACATGGAGGTTTCTTCACACTCAACTACCAAACGTTTGTGCAGATATTATGACAAGTCTCACAATATTAGTATGAAAATACGTGCTGAAAATACATCCAAACTGTAATGTGAAATGTACTCTTGCAGTGATTTGAGACAATTTGTGTTCAGCCCTATTGTGAGAATTAAATAGGTCCAGTTTCGAATGAAAAATAATAATAGGGAGGAGGAAGCTCATGTCATGAGTGGTAAGAAGCAGGTAGGAATAACTTTTTTCTCCTTTTTTAAAGTGCACCAGTTCTAACAAGTGTAACGGATGGTAGTTTTATCATCAGTAACCAAATTCTTCATTCCTTTCATTTATTTCCAAATATACCTCGCAAAACAGCTAAACTTAATCTATTATTGTTTACCAGAATGGTGACTACCTCTTCTAATATTCAACATTTTAAAAGCAGAAACAACTAGTCTTTTGTGATTCTTTTTTTTTTTAATTCTGCCAAATCAAAAGTCCACTAAATTATTATTATTATTTTTTTGCACATTTCTAACTCATATATACGGTCGGTGATCAAGCTGAAAGTGCTAGGAAACGTATAATTTGTCTTGTGTAAAATGTTGCACAGTCTTCATTACTATAACAGTGATAGTAAACCCCTAAATGTCCATTCTGGGTGACACAGTCCATGATTACTCTAAGGACCAAATCAGGAGCAATCCTAAAATCCTGAATGATCTATTTAAAAAAAAAATAAAAAAAAAATAGAACTGTCACCGTATTGTAGTTTATTTCTGCAGTAGCAAATGTGTTTTCTTTCAGCAGTTACATGTCAGTGAAGGTTTGAATGGGAATGCTATTCATTCTCCACCTCCTCTTCTTGCATAGTATAGGCTTGATGCGCTGAATGACAGCTGCAATAGTTCTAAATATCTAGCCAATGACTATTACCTTCTGATGTCTGCTGACACAGAGAGACCCAATGGGAGATGCTGGAACGCTGTGCTGACTGCAAGGAATTAATCTATGCAGGGTGACGTCACGAGGAGGGCTGTCTGACTGAAATCCCACTCACTAGAAACTTTTGACTCCTCTCTCCAGCAGCCTGCTGAATGAACAGATCTTTAGTGTGTGAAATGTCCTAAACGTCACTTCAGTGGCTGCTTGACAGATAGCATTATCTCTCCAGTGCTTACTTTGGATGTGCATATAATATATAATGTGCAGAGAGACCTTGATTTTGTTTGTTACATCCTCACAGGCGTTTCAAAGAGGAGCTGTTGCTTTTCAGATGCTGGCATTTATGGGTCCATCATAAAAAATAAAATAATAAAAGAGTAGTATTTTTATGTATTTGTGTTGTTCGATTTCTTGCTATGGATGTTTTTATTTTATGTTAATCACAGCTGCCTTCCAAAGGGACCAAGTGAACTCTCATCATGTTCATCCAGACCTGGCTTAGCATGCAGATAAATGGGTTCTGTTTAAATTTAATTTGAGAGGACAAATTCCATCTAGAATGACATATACATGAAACCTGATGGTCCCCATGACTGAAAAGCCTTCTTCTGAGCATGAGGGGTGTTGTATCCATCATCTTTGCCTTGAGTGGATTGCTTGGAACTTATTGGACAGCAGTAATAACAAATTAATTAACCACATACAGAGTGCTCTAGTATCCAAATGCATCCAGGAGATGTTACTATTATCCTAATTAATGGTACTCATTTTGTCTACATTGGAAGGAAGAATTAGCCAAGTTAAGATTTGCCATGTAACCTGCAAGGAATGAACAGATTCTATTGATGACGCATTAGCCCACTGAGCTATCTCACTGGCCTCCACTGGACAGTAGTAGCATGCAACTCTCATCACTTGCCAGACCCTGACTGAGCATGACAATGGCTTTCTGTGTTTGCATCTAATGACAAAATATACACATACTACAAATCTTTAAATAAAATAGACATGGTTACAAAGGACTGTTATCTTAATTTCAGGGCAGTGTAGTTTAAATGTAATCGTTTTGCCAAACTTTGCTGAAACCTCATTCAGAAAAACCTGGCATGTGAGGTAGATTTGAACATCAGGGGTGTCTTTAGCTGTCTCTTATTATTGTTGGGGCTGGATTTCCCATTATGCAGAGTACTACAGGCACATGTCTGATGGGGCGCATGCTCTTTCTGCCAATAGGCCCCCACCTCCTGTCCAGTGTCTGCTGTTTGTTGACTGGAACAGATGCTCCAGGATGCTGTATTACATCTGAGGGACAATTATCTGTGCATGGTCATGTCCCCCAAGACTGAACACAGGGATCTCCTGGAATGAAAAGGGGAAAGGACAGGCTAGGTGAAGGGAGACTGGGGGCTGAATGGAAAACTCCTAAGTGACAGGCACACACAAACACACAGCTACACATACTGGTACCAAGAATTTACACACATACTGCTTCCCACACTGTCAAACAAACTGCTGCTGTTGACATTGCTGCCCATGCTGCTATCTACACTATCCACACACACACAGACTACTACGCACACTGCTGGACATACTGCTACTAATCATAATGTTACGCCAACAAATTCACACTGCTATACACATTACTATGCACACTGCTGTACACACATACAAAGAAATCCATACACGCATAAACATGCAGTCAGATATTTACACACACCCATATACACACAGACATTCACCCTATACGTGTGTGTCTGTACAACAATTTTTAGCATGTTTAAAGGTCAAGTTTATTTTATTAGTTGGGAATGTAGGGAGTGGTTAGTACTTAAAAATTTTGCATTTCTCTAGCATAACCTGAATTATTGGTTACCAAGTCAGTGACTAGCTGTTAAAAAGAATGTCTTTTTGCCCACTTTCTTTAAGAGAATAGCCAGCTTGGAGATTGTTTGTCTTCCAAGTTGGCTGTTACACCTGCATTGTGCAGTTTGGTAAAAAAAGCTGTGCAAATTGACCTTTTATAAATAGAACTACTTGTTGTGGCCAAAGCCATCAAACGTTAATGAAATACTTTTAGCTTTCATGGGTTTTCATGTACCTTCTGGGTCTATTGTAGTTTCCCCAAGTAGATGGTATTCATTTTATTAACCTCAACATCCATGAGGACTGAACAAGGTCAGCACAGCCAGTGCATATCTTGCAATTAAAGAATACATTCATATTTATGACATGTCTGTGAAACCAGCAATTAAATAAGTCATGTCACTTAAGACATCGCTTCATTTTGATATCCAGAAAATATTCTCTTCAAATAATCTACTATTTCAGCTATCAATTCATTCCTTTTGCTGCTCAAATATGAGGTTGCTTTGTTACCTTTATATTTTAGTGCAGAGGTTCCCAACCTGTGGTACACGTACTCTAGGCGGTACGTGCAAGAAAAGTAGGAGGTATGCTGAAAGATGGCAAGCAGGCTATCTTAGGGCCCCCAGGAGATGTCCGGCTGTGCAGTGTGCACGGGGGCAGTGCTGGAAGAGCATGAAGATTACAGCACCACAATGGACCCCAGAGATAGGATCCATTCCAGCTCTTTTAATGGTAGGGAGTCTGGGTAAACTTAAATAAACAAAATAAAGTAATAAAAAAAACTATTCTGAGTGTGTGTGTGAGAGAATGTGTATGTGTCTGTCCGGGAATGTGTATGTGTGTCTGTCAATGTGTGTCAAATCAGTGAGTGTGTCTGACAGTATCTATCTGTCAGTGAATGTGTGTGTGTGTGTGTGTGTCCAATCAGTGAGTGAGTTTCTGTTAGTGAATGTCTGTGTGTCAGTAAGTGTTTTTGCCAGTGTGTGTCAAATCAGTGTGATTGTATCTGTCAGTCAGTGAGAGTGAGAGTGAGAGAGAGTGTGTGTGTGTGTGTGTGTGTGTGTGTGTGTGTCAGTGTCCTCTGTGTATAAATGTGTGTGTCTGTCAGTCTCCTCTTTGTATAAATATGTGTGTCTGTCAGTCTCCTCTTTGTATAAATGTGTGTGTGTCAGTGTCCTCTGTGTGTAAATGTATGTGTAACTGTGTGTGTCAGTGTTCTCTGTACGTAAATATTTCATTGTCCTCTGTGTGTATTATATTTTCATTTTGTGACTTTTTTTTTACTTCAGATTAATAATTCATACACTACTCCTAACAAACACAATATTCACATGATTTCATATTTATTTTAAGAATATTATTTACTAATCGAGTTTGTTCATCAATATGTGATTAACCTAAATATCAGATTAATAATTCATACACTACTCCTAACAAACAGAATATTCCCATGATTTCATATTTATTTTAAGAATATTAATTACTAATTGAGTTTGTTCATCAATATGTAATTAACCTAAATATCATTGTCTACATGGTTCACTTGGAATTTAAATCAATTGAAATTATTTTCTTGAGACAGGGCTACTTAAGATTTTATTTTTAGACCTGCAAGGTTTCTTCTCTGTAAAAGTTTGAGAAACACTACTTTAGTGTATTTAAACAACGTGTGTCTGTTGTAGGGTTTGACAAGGGTATATTTTTTTTAATGTTTAATTTACTTATTGTATACTCTAATATGCCTTATACATGGTGGACATGGTAAAATCCAGTTGAAGTAACCCTTTAAGCTGCTTATATGGCATTAGTGCCTATGTGATTATCTTCTTCATCTCACTGAAGAGTCTAATTTTCATATTAGTGACTTATTTTTGTTAGTGCATGATTCAAGTCATCGTAGATAAATCAGGCATTATCCTGTATTTAATGCTTTGGTGAAGATGAAAGCCAGGGACGGTTCTGACAGAAAGCATTAGACACTTGGTTGCCCTCATAAGAAGTGGTTGTAGGCATAATCTGGCTGCATTTTTTTTTAATGAGGACATCAACTATTTCCAACAAGTAGAAACCTTGTTTTCTGATCATGTTTGTATATCATTACCGGCAATAGTGATTCTCAAACAGCTCTTCAAAGACTCTGCAGTCAGTCCCACTATTCCAAATGCAAACCAGGACTTTGAATTAAATTAATTCAATAGGAATGGTGCCCATGGCTCTGTGAATATTATACTGATGGGTTAACATAGAAACATAGAATGTGACGGCAGATAAGAACCATTCGGCCCATCTAGTCTGCCCAATTTTCTAAATACTTTCATTAGTCCCTGGCCTTATATTATAGTTAGGATAGCCTTATGCATATCCCACACATGCTAAACTCCTTTAACTCAGTGATGGCTAACCTTGACACCATAAATTGTTTCTGGACTACATTTCCCACAATGTTCAGCTAGCTTAGCATCATGGGAAATGTAGTCCAGAAACAATTTATGGTGTCAAGGTTAGCCATCACTGCGTTAACGCTTTCCAGGTTTAGGGAACTGTGAATCTCCTGGCCCTGGTAATACAAAGTTGAGAGGTTAACCACATTTGGGTTTAACCCCTTTAGGTCCAAGATACTGTGAGTCTCTATATAATATCATTAAACCATAGAATAATATATTAAAGCAAGCAACATAAAAATTTCAGTCAAAAGCCAGTGCTGAACCGGTGAAATACCTGTGCTGGTACCTTATTGTATATGTCTTTTGAAATACTTGTTAAAGGTGATTTGAACTAACATTATTTATTTTTAGTGCATTTTTCTGAAGTTGAAGGACGATTTACTTTAAGACATTGCCATAATTGTTTCAACATCACACAACCGTTGGAAGCACAGTACACATAATGAACTGCCTATATATTGTTTGATTAAAGTTCATTCAGAAGTCCAAATGATTTTTCTACAATCACTGCTTCATCGAGTAGACATATCATGGGTGGATATATCATCTGCTTTTTCTTTTTCTTCTTTTTTTTCCAAACTTACCAGCTGTGAACTTGAGTGTAGTGCCACAAATAACATGGAGCTCCAAAGTATTAAAGGGACACTCCAGACCCCTAAAGCACTTTAGCTTGCTGAAAAGCTTTATGTGTGAAGAATGTGTCCCCTTTTCTAATTTTTCAAAAAGTGCAGATTTCAATAGAAAATTACACTTTTCTACATTATACTGGTTACACACCCTGGCTTTCAAGCAGACAAAGGGTTATGTTACTTCCTGGTTTGGTAATCTCAGTGGAACTGAACTCAAAAGTCTACAACTGCTCAGAGACCTGCCTTGCAAAGACTTCTAATTGAGCTGCACCGGGAAGTCTGGGCAGGCACAGAAAGTCTGGGCGGGCTTAAAAGGGGAGGGCTTGCAAAGACGAGAACTGCAGGAGTTGCAAGCTGTTTTTAGATATAACCCAAATAAATGCTAGTTTAAATGCATGTAAGCTTTAATTTGGGATATATCTACTAAATGGTGAGTTTTATTTATTTTGTATTTATGTAGTGAAGTGTCCATTTAACCATGTATGGCTTTGTTCTTAGATGCATATATAGATTTTATTAACATTTGGTTTGATTACAATAGTTATGCCAGATCTCTCATGTCCCTCTAGACATTCTGCATTTGTCTACATCTACACACTAAAAGCTGGCACAATATAGTGAAGTTGAAGGTTCAGTTTGCTGTCTTCTTATTGGTCAGAAAAATGATCATTGCATGTTTTACATTTTCTCTTATGAAGTTAAGCTGATTTCAAATTGTTTCGAAGAACCAAAACCACTGTTAGCTGCCATGGTCAGAAAAAAGTATCCAATTCTCCTTTTACCTGACGTACTACATACCTCTAAAAAAAATGACTATGGGCAACAGTAAATAAAAAAAGGAAGGGAAAAAATAAAAAATTTACAAATCTCAGAGCGTTGGATTAGATGAAGGCCCAGGTTAAATAAAAAATAAATGCAAACAAAAGGAAAAAGAACTACAAAGGAGTGAAAAAGTAAAAGCAGAAGAGGAGAGAATAGAACTAAAACACATGAAGAAAAGCGAGTGAATTGAGAATGCTAAATATGAAAAAGGGGACAGAAGTGCGCAAAAACATTAAGGTGGTTGGACAGTAGTTCTGATGATGCTAAAACTCATAACAAAATCCCCATTAAAACTTATATTCATATATTCTATACACTGCTTAAAGGAACATACGCATTAAAATATACACACACCATCTCTCGCTCTATTTCTCTCTCTCTATATATAGAGAGAGATCTTTCACGAAGGCTTTTTTTAAAAAATATAATTCAAATCACAGTTATTGTGATACTTGTTATTGACTGCCGAGACAGACTCTTTGTAGTAGCCGATCCTCTTCTGTTGCAGTCATCAAGTATGGTGACTTTTTTCTTATCAGATGCTTATCCTAGACACACAGCACATGTGCAACAAGTGCCACATTCGGCCAATTCAGTGCTTCTTCTAGAGATGCATATAATCAATACTTCTCTATGTCATGCATTATCCTCCTTCAACATCACCATGTTGTGTTTGATCACATCTAACCTGAAGACTTTCAATTATCTAAGAATGTGAGGGAAAGCTCTCCTGTGGTGGCTGTTAGTCTGGCAGCCACTAGAGACATACAGTACTTACTTGAGTCTAATGCGTACCTTTTTTGGAAAATAAAGTTTCCAAAATTTGAATGTGCATTAGATTCGATGGCGCATTTAATTCGGTGCAAAGTTCAAAAGTTTTCGGCGAATTCATACAAGTGAATTTAAATATGCAAATTCATACAGGCAAATGCACACAGGCGAATTTCATTCCGGTAAATTCACACAAGTAAATTTCGTTCCTGAAAGAGGGGCTTAACATATAACACAAAACTTAAAATACCATCAATGTTACTGTGGTATATGGCAATAAACATTTTCATTATAGCACCGTGTTGTGTAGTAGTATCAGATTGGCACATTTTGAAACACTTAATAATATGTTGGTGTAATGCAAATGGATTTCAAGTACGTTTTAAAAGGATATTATTTCAAGAGTTTCAGTGCATTTGCATTGAGATAATATCACTACCATTTTATGTTTTTTTTTTTTTTTTGCATGTATCTTTATTGAAAAAGCCATAATAATAGGGGTTGTGGAGGGATATACAATTAGTAATAGGGCTGGTGGAGCTATACAATTAGAGAATGCACAATCTTAAATGTGCAGAGCTTTCAACATGAAATATTCGCTTTTCGAATGGGCTTTTAGTGTTAACACAGTGATGTCATATAGGTGTGGATTTAGTTAGTATAGAAAGCGTTTAATGTCTAATGCCATGATTAACGTATTTTTTTTTATTTTATTTTTTTCATATTTCAATATTTGAAAAATAAACTATGTTGCGCATTGCTGCTTTATTAACAAAGAATGTGAAACAGAAATTGTTTCTTAAAAGAGGATCATAAATACTGCAGCTCATTATACTGTTTTTGGTACTGTAAGTCTGTGAGAAATCACCCTTGGTTATAAGTGATACTGATTTTGAATACTTTGACAAAAGC